GGAATGAGCCCAGGCTCCAGATCAGGGCTGAGACACAGGAGCCATGTGGGAAGCCTGGAGTTGGGTTCCAGGCTGATGTGAGCAGGCAGGCGTGTCTGCCTCTGACCCTGGCTTCCTGAGAGGCTGGGAGGGCTAAGGTGTGGTGATGCCTGTCTCTTTCATGAAAGGAGAAAAAAAAAAAAAGACAATAAAAGCAGTTAATGAGGGCTGTAATCAAGCTCTGAGCCATTACAGATGATGAGCCCCACCCTCACCCCCACCACCGGCCCCATCCATTGACTGGTATGTCAACTCCCATAGCCAGTGAGCACTGAGCACCATCAGACTACTTTGAAGAATTCAAGAATTCGACTCGCACTATTTCTGTGTGTCAACAAAAGAACTTTTCATGTGAAAAAAGATCAGCTATAGGTATGTCATTTGAAATGCAGAAACAAATGTTTCAGTTATTTGAAAAGTCCCTAAGGCCAACGAGGAAGCTACAAATGAATTTCTCAAGAAAAAAATGCCCCAACTACTTGTGGTTATAAGATGTCTTGTAAATTTGTGGTGAAAAGAAACCAAGTTAAGAAATTCCTCAGGAATGGAAGGGTGCCCAAAGCAGCTTTGTAGAACGTGTGATGCCCTCTCTCCACTCCACAAAGCTCACAACTTCCCGAACCTACACTATATCCCTGCAGAGTATCAGGAAGACAGGGAGGGAAGCCTTGATGGCTACCGAGTAGAACTCTGCCAGGAAATTCTGTGTGGTTAGTGATGCCGCTGCCAGAACGCATCTGCATGGATGCCCTACCAGGTGGCTTCAGCCGATAGTTTAAAGGGCCCCTCCCTCCAGGAATCTTCCCCACTCTGAAGACTCCAGATAGCAGACCTACTTATGTTGTTCTTGGATTTCACTGTGAAGGCCTACAAATATCTCTCTCTGACAGACCCAAGTGGAACGGCAGACGTCGCCTGAAACGGCTATCAAATATGTGGTAGGGGGATCAAAAACACCATTAAAAAACTACTATGAAGTGAGTGGGAGGGATCTGTTCAAGGTTCACATCGTCTCTAACATGTATCCTGCCACAAGGCGCAGCAGTTGAATTTACACCTGTAGATAACATGTTTGAAAAATGATGGAAATTGGAAAATAATGCACACTTAAACTGTTAGCTTAAAACAATCTGAGCCTCCTATCTTTGACCAGTAAGTAAACACAAAGCCATAGAACGGAAAGTGAGATGCAATTAGAACAACTTCCTAAGGTGGGAAAAATAAACTGAGGCACAGGAGAATAACACCAATGGTATCTGTAACAGCACTTCTATGACTCAGATAGTAAGGGGTCTTCTAAGCACATAGCAAAAACGTAATACTCTGTACTCCACTCTGAATCAACACAGCAAATGCCAAGCTCTTCGTGTTTGTCAGGAAAATGAGGGCAGGTAACTGAAAGCATGATATTCTGCAGATACTATTTCCTGAAATCACACATTAAACTTTAGACCAACTCCTCTGGATTTCTAATCTCTCAGATGCATAGGACTTTGAAATCTGCCCATGGGTTTGGAAAAAGATGTAAACCACTGGCTTTTGTTGTTGTTTTTAAACTGCCTAAGCCTATACACGTTTCCCAGAAAGGAATGGGGAGGGGAGGGAGAAAACCCCATCAGGGTGTGGTCACACTGCAATCCTTTCTCCATTCCTGTCTGTCTATTCTGGGCATGCATGCACAACATTTGGCTGGTTCTTCTGGCCACTGGGGCTGGGATTTGAACTGAAGTCATGTGGGATCTGGCTCCCTTCACCACTCAACTATGGGGCCAGGATTGGGCTGGGCCCTTTGCTTTAAGTGTCCAAAGAATGTGGTTTCTATTTGGCTCTAGAATTTTTCCATACTAAATCTTGGCCATCAAGTAACAAGTTTCGGGACCAGCAGTTAGCGTAATGGCTATGTCACTGGACTCTCATGTAGTCGAGTGCGCTTTGAGTCCCAGACCCGGTGGCTTAAACTCACGCTGGGCACATGTGCATGTGTGCCCAAGATCCTGAGGAGAATGGAGAAGAAGGGATTGCGGCGTGGCCATCCCCCCTGGGGGGTGATTTCTTGCTGTCTCTTTCTCTCTCTTTCTGGCGAGCTCACGCACCCTTTGGCAAAAACCTCTCCAAAAAACCCCAAAAAAGTAACAAGTTTCCCTGACAACCCTCTATGCATAGGCACTAGAGGTAAAATAGAAATGAGATCCTGGCGCTTTCAGACCTTTGAGACAGCAATGTCACATTAAGTGTCCCTTAAGAACATTCTTCAGAAAGCTTTCTATATTCTAACCAAAATGAAACAAGTAGTTAAAAAGTGAAGGGACATCTTCAAAGGTTAAAATTATCTCCAGCAGGAAGACACCACACACATGCAGTTTTGATTTATTTAGCACACAGCTACAATGACTCAAGGTCAGGCTGCTATCACATACCAGGCATGTTTCAATTTTAACTCTTTCCATCAAGCCCAGAATTTCTCAACTGGGTGATCTGTTAAAAAGTTTAAAAGGCCTCTGCTTTAGGTTTTCTGTAATCAAAACTCTGCCCAACTAAGCACAGCAGACTGATGAGCAAATACACCTGCTCTGAACACAGAGTAACCAAATAACACCAAAGGTCAGTGTCTATAAAGCAAAACAAATGAGGCTGTTTCTGCTGTGTCTTCTGTCCTTGCGTCCTTACACAATTATTCTAGAAACAGAGGGCAAGAATCACCTCTTAAGATGGTTATGGTTAAAAGGTTTAATTTAGCAGTGTCTAAACTAAATGCCAACCATTCAGAATTAAACTTCACATGCCAAAAAGCAATCTCATGATGACTGCCTTATTTCTATTACAGTTTTCTAGTGAGTGAAAACTCATGCAACACATATTAGGGCTAACTGGCATAATATATAAAATATTTCAATAAATCAGTTAAACTAGCCCGACAAAAAATAAAGGGTATGACGAAGCACTGGACAGAAGAAAACCAATGACCACTGAACAATAGAAGTTGCTCAATCCTGTAATTAGGGATAAGCAAAATAAAACATTAAGAAGATACTTCCACTGACTGGCTTTAAAAAAGCAACAGTAGGGACCAGCAGATGGCATAATGGCTATGTCACTGGACTCCCGTGTAGTCGACTATGGTTTGTGTCCTGGATCCGGTGGTTTAAACTCACACCTAGTGTGTGTGCGTGTGTGCCCAAGATCCTGAGAGGAGAATGGAGGAGAAGGGATTGTGGAAGGGGATTTCCCGCTTTCTGTCTCTCTGGTGAGCGCAGGTGCCCTATAGCAATAATAGATGATCCTCAATGTCAAATAGGTATACACCGTGTAAAGGCGATTTGGTATTAGTTATGAACATTTAAGACATGCAGGCAGATACTTTGGCTCAAATAATCTGACTTTGGGCAAATTTCCCCAGCACCAACTAAAGTGTATGTGTAAACCTGTATTTAATAGGGTGTTAAGAGGGGTCTTGAGGAGGCAATATCTGAACAAGGATAGATGAGGGAGCATGTTCTGTAGATGTCTGGAAGGTGTTCTAGGAAAAGGAAGCAGCAAGAACAAAAGCCCTGAAGTGGGACCTGAAAGGCAATGGGTACTGGGCCAGCTGGGTCCAACATGCTGGCCACTGTGTGGTTTGAATCTGGTACCCTGCAGCTTGAAAGGCACATCACGTACGTGGATTCCCAAAACCCTGAGAGGAGAACAGAGCAGAAGGGACTATGGTGTTGGCCACTCACCCGGGGGCTGTTTTCTCACTTTCCCACTCTGTCCCTCTCTGGGAAGTGCACACACACAATAGCAAATGTTAAGAAAATATATGGCAAGGGGTACAGTTGCAGAATCTGGAGTATGCAAATAAGCAAGGAAGAGAATGATATAGAAGACAGAGTGTCAAAGACCACTGTAAACGATCTGGCCTAACTGGACTTTGCTTAATTCTTACCTTCCAAATCCCACGATCCTTCATTTAATCATAAGCCAGAATGTATTTATCATTACTCGCCAAGTTAGACTTTCACCCTAGAGTTTATACCAAGAGATCTTAACTCAGCTTTTATAAATGCTCCAAAACTTCCCTAAGATCCTCAAAGGGATCTGGGAGTTTCCCTATCACCCACAGAAAATCAATCACCCAAATGACTAAGAATCACAGGCAAAAACTATTTCTGAAAGGACAAAGGACTTCAGGGATACAGTATGTACGTTGTCAAAAACATTCTTCAGTGAGTTTACTTCTGCTTGGCAGAGACTGCAAATAAGGTCTGTGGCGAGGAATCACATGTACTGCTTCCACAACAGAACAAAGCCAACAGTGAGGCAGGAACCGGCCTTCTAGTGACCAGATCGCTTTTGATTTCCACCGCCCCTGTGCCATCAGTGGTGGGGGCGATCACCTATCCACCGCCCCTCACCGCGCCCATGCCATCAAGTAGTGAAGGCGATCACCTATTACCAGAGCTGAGCCCCTTATCAGAAACACTGAGCTCTCTGCCCACTATTTGTAGTTTAATTTTCCTCAAGGATGATCTAGTATTTTCCTGTGCAAAAACCTTTAAGACATGCTGCCTTTCCACCTAAATTTAAACTGCTCCCTGTAACCTCCACGCTCCAGGCTTAACCGACCTTTCCAGACTCTGCTCCCACATCTTCCTTACGCGAGTATGACCACACAGACTCATCTGAAATCAGTCCATAAGGCCCAAGTTAACTGTCTTTGTCCTTTCCCTCTTTCAAGATTACCTTGATTTCTCTATCCCATACATAATTTGGTATGAAAAAGACAATGGGCTTTGGAGTCAGACCAGGGCTTGATGAGCACTTCACCACTGAAGAGCGGGGTGAGCAAGTGAAAGTGAATTAACTGTCTGAATTTCAGGTTACCTACGTAACAAGGATAAATTCCACGCCCTTCAGAGACTTGTAAATGAAATAGCCCATATGAAATAAGTGACTTCTCTCACAAACACATTTTATATAATTCTTACAGAACTTGACAGTTTTTCTAGTAGGAAATCAACAGGCACTATCTAAAATTTAAAAAAATCAAGAAATAAAAAAATAATTATTTCATTTAGAAACAGGATATTAAGGGCAAAGAAGTAAAGTAGCTGCCTTTGGGAGCAGGGCATTAGGGTGAACATGGTGAGTACAGCAGACAGATTTTAAGATAACTCTGACTTTAAAATTACATACACGGGGCCAGCAGGTAGGGTGGAAGTTAAGGCAGCTGGAGCCCACATAGCCAAGTGCACAGTGGAACCCTGGACGTGGTGGTGAGAATGTCCCTAGGTACATGTGTAGATTCTTTTTTTTTTTTTTTTAAGCTCATGATGTGTTTATTTATGCTTAACTATTTCAGAATGCATATACTTTTTCTTTTTAATTTGAAAAATTTATTTATTTTCAGGAAATAAAATGACACTTCTTAAAATATGAATGAAATTTGAGGTTGTTACGTTGGGGGAGAGGAAAATGGAGACTTGGTTAAAGGGGTTAACTGAGTGTCAGTTTTGCAAGATAAGAAAGTTCCAGAGGTTGGTTGTCCAACAATGTGATTATATTTAATGTGACTGAACAGTACATTTAAAAATGGTTAAGATGGGTTTTTTATGTTATATATGTTTTGCCACAATTAAAAAAAAATGAAAACAAACAAAAAAAACCCCACAGTTAAAACATTAGGTTATTATATGCAAGAAGTGTAAAGTTTCCGTAGAAAACCAGAGATTAAAAGCATACTTCAAGTATATTAAGAGACAGCCCTGAGACCAGCAGTTAGCGTAATGGCTATGTCACTGGATTCCCACACAGTCGACCGTGGTTCGAATCCCGGACCTGGTGGCTTAAACTCATGCCAGGCGCGTGTACGTGCGTGCCCAAGATCCAGCGAGGAGAATGGAGGAGAAGGGATTGCGGCATGGCCATCCCCCCCACCCCCCGAGGGGTGATTTCTCGCTTTCTGTCTCTGTCTGGCGAGTGCACGCGCCCTATAGCAAAAACCTCTTCAAGAAAAAAAAAAAAAGAGCGACCGCCCCAGCCGACAGTACCTACCTGTACATTTATACAGCATGCCCGTCATGGTTCCGGCCGCCACCGTGTTAAGGTCATCTTCCGCCCCTCGTGTTTTCTCAATGATAACACCAAATGCACTATAGAGCAAAGCTAAAGGGGAAGTGGAAATGCTCGGTGACGAAAAAATGATTCAAAGTCAGAATAGCAACAATATTATCCAAAGGTAATCACTAGGACACTGTTTTTATTAGCAAAAACATGGCTACAAATGAAATACCCATGAAAAGCATGTGCAACCCCCCACCCCAGCCTTGCCCAGAAAGGGACTATCTGTATAATGGATAGTATGTTGTCACTTAAAAACCAGAAGGAGCTACATTCACCAATATATAAAGCAAGTACACATGTGTAAGTTTGTGGTCCTGACCGGCTATGCTAAGAAATGTCTGCAAATCAGGAGAAACACCTGCTATTTCTGGAAAATGCCCTTGGGGAAGCCTTAGGAAGAATATTTTAAAATTTCACTTATATGTTACCTAAAATAGCTGTACTTGGATTAAACACTTATAGAGACAAACCTATTTTAAAAACTAAACTTAAAAAAAAAAAACAAAACACCATGAGGTCTGATTCTCATAAATGTCAACACTGTAACAGTAGAGCCATTAAAATTTTTTGTTTTGGAGAGGTTTTTGCTATACAGCTCATGTGCTTGCCAGACAGAGACACAGCGAGAAATCATCCCCCCACGGGGGATGGCCATGCAGCAATCCCTTCTCCTCCGTTCTCCTCTTGGGATCTTGGGCACGCACGCACACGTGCCCAGCATGAGTTTTAAGCCATCGGGTCCGGGACTCAAACCGCGGTTGACTACATGGGAGTCCAGCAACATTGCCATTATGCTAACTGCTGGTCCTGATCCATCGAATTTTAAAAGATCTCCCAGCTGCCCTACTTCTGTACCTTTGCAGACCCCTACCAGGCATGGACACACTGTTCCTTACCCTCTTCAAAACAGCAGCTGCATCCGACCCCCAATACCACCACACTAAGCTTATTAGCATTACATTTCCTCTGCTGTGGTATTTTTATACATTTCTATAGAAGCGCATACTCCCATTTCAACTTATATAACTGTACTTGTAGGATCAGAACGTTGGGACCAAGCACACCACAACGATACACAGGGGGACTAGCCATCCAGTCTGTCCAGGACTATGAGGTGCACAAGGACGCACTGCTGCCTATTCTAGGTGTGGGAGTAGTGCAAAGGAACAAGGGAGCGGGGATGCGGGGTGAGCAGCCTGGAAGCAGCCAGCACAGGATCCTCCACCTGCCTCTGTGGTAAGTAAATGAGAAGCTCCTACATCCTGTGACAAGGCTGGGATCTTACTCTGTCCAAACAAAGGTTTTTTCGACCTTTTCAATGAGTTGTCTACCTCTTCTCTTACTTAATCTGTCACAATTACAAAGACTTTCAGACTTTCAACCAAGATCATCAATTATAAAAACCTTAAATGTTAGGACATAAGTGCCACAGTAGATCCATCATTAAGTCGTCAATAAGCAAAAGACCCAATCATCCCTAAGCATAGGGTATGAAAACACTTTATCATGACTAAACATTACTAAATTACCTGTTGGCTAGACTGCAAAGGTTCATTATCTACAAAGGACCTATTGCAATTTGGGCAATTTAGTCCTCAATATCGCAGGTAAACAGACTGCTTAATGGGCTATTAAGAAGACACGCAAGACAACTAGATTAATCTACCACGACTGGGTACAGACCTTGAACCTTTCCTAACATACAAAGTCATTTGCCCTGGAACTAAATTATCTGGGTTTCATTTAGTTAAAACATGATTTTTATTTGGTATTCTGATAGACAAGGGAGTGTACAGTGTTGAAAACAATTCCAAACATTCAGAAATGGCGATCAGAATGACATGTACACTTGAGACTGCTTTGTTCTACTGTTCACGATCTGTCCCTAAGAAGCATGAGACGGTCTTTAGGAAGATCTTGGTGGGGCCAACAAGTAGTATGGTTAAAGCGCTGGATGACCACATGGCCGACTACAGTTTGAAGACTGGACCCAGCAGTCTGAAAATCATGCTGGGGTGCATGTATGAGCTCAAAACCCCAGGAGAAGGGACTGTGGCCTTGCTATCCCCCACCCAGGGGGTGATTTCTCACTTTCCCTCTCTGTGTCTCTCTCTTCTCTGGCAAGTGTACAGGCCCTATGGCAAACCTTAAATAAATAAATTAGCTCTTATAAAATACAAAGTATGAAAAAACAATGCATTGATTTAAAAAAGTCTTCCTACCAAAATAAACTTGTATTTCAATTTCATCTCCCACAAACTTTCTGAAGTCCCTGAAGTCCTATCACATCTATGCTACACAGAATAGACTTAAACGCAACCATTGTACATGCCAGGGCCACAATTTTTGATCAAACTGTTCGTGACACTTAAACATTCTTTCTTACATTAACAATTTGTTATCAAATGAGAGCTCTACTTACCCAGAGAACCTAAAGTGTTAGCCCAAAGTGCTCCTTGCCTGGTCACCATATTCAAAATTCTACCAGGGCAGAAAAGAAAGAATCTGTCTGTATTTAGAATCATTAATTCTCATCTTTAACAAACCCATAACGGCAGATACTTAAAGTGCCTAGACCCAAACTCCAAAGATGCCTTAATTTTAGGATTTATCCCAGGGGCGGGCAGGTGGCGTGGAGGTTGGGGAGTAGACTCTCACATGGCCAACCACTGTTTGAGTCCTGGACCTGGCAGATTGCTTTCTTTTTTTTTTGAGAGGTTTTTGATATAGGGTGCGTGTGCTCACCAGACAGACAGAGAGAGACAGAGAGACAGAAAGCAAGAAATCACCCCCCGGGGAGATGGTCACGTCGCAATCCCTTCTCCTCCATTCTCCTCTCGGGATCTTGGGCACGCACGCACACGTGCCCGACTATGTGGGAGTCCAGCGACATAGCCATTATGCTAACTGCTGGTTCCTGGCAGCTTGCTTTCTGACTTTCCTTCTTTCTCTCTCTCTCACTGTCCCTCTGGTCAAATTAAAAATGGATAAATGAATAAATAAATAAAGTTAAATAATTCTGGAAAAAAAGTTTTATCCCAATACTTCCTCAGATTCAATACGGATGGTTTTTACTCCATATAAATCAAAGTTAGGTTAAAGATTTCAAACCTGGACCTGGCAGATTGCTTTCTTTTTTTTTTGAGAGGTTTTTGATATAGGGTGCGTGTGCTCACCAGACAGACAGAGAGAGACAGAGAGACAGAAAGCAAGAAATCACCCCCCGGGGAGATGGTCACGTCGCAATCCCTTCTCCTCCATTCTCCTCTCGGGATCTTGGGCACGCACGCACACGTGCCCGACTATGTGGGAGTCCAGCGACATAGCCATTATGCTAACTGCTGGTTCCTGGCAGCTTGCTTTCTGACTTTCCTTCTTTCTCTCTCTCTCACTGTCCCTCTGGTCAAATTAAAAATGGATAAATGAATAAATAAATAAAGTTAAATAATTCTGGAAAAAAAGTTTTATCCCAATACTTCCTCAGATTCAATACGGATGGTTTTTACTCCATATAAATCAAAGTTAGGTTAAAGATTTCAAACGTTTTGGGCAATGGCCAGGGAAAATTCTTACTAAACATGCCAAATTATTAACTATATAAAGGACTTGGATGACAGCCTAAAATACATTTGATGAATATTGGGTCATAAGGAAAGTCATAACATATTTTTCTGCAAAAATGCGTCATGACTTTTCCAAAGACTCTAGTTTACAGAAATTGATTTAACTATAACAAACTAGCTTGATGTTCTTTTTTAGGAGAGGCATATACATTTAAGACTATTACACAGAATCAAAGTAAAGAATACTCAAGCACAGAATACAATGTAGAACCCAAGAGACGGAAACAGTGAGGACACGTGGAGAAAGCACTGCGTGTCTGCTCCCAGACTAGCACCAAGCAGCCAGAGTGAGTGCTTAGCACACTCTCGAGGAAGCAGTCCTGCCTCGCACCAGTGCCAGACGCCACCAGAACAGTGACGAGGGCAACCGGATGAGAGAGACAAGACACTGCTCTACCAGCAGTGTAACACCATCACTGGAACGATCTCCGGACAGCTGACTACTGCTGGAAAGCACAGAAGTGCATCAACAGAGCTCAATCAATGCTCTACAGTAAGACGAACTTGTGTTACTTCTGAAAGACTTTTAAAAAAGAAGCAGTGTTTACAAATAGAAGTATACTGTTTCTTTTCTTCTTTCTCTCTCTTCTTTTTTTTAAAGAGATTTTTGCTATAGGGTGCATATGCTTGCCAGAGACACACAATGAAATCACCCCCCCACCCCCACCCCCAGGGGGATGGCTACACCACAGTCCCTTCTCCTCCATTCTCCTCCTGGGATTTTGGGCATGTATGCACACATGCTTGGTGTGAGTTTGAAGCCACTGGATCTGGGACCCAAACCATGGTCAACTACGTATGTGAGAGTCCAGCAATGTAACAATTACGCCATCTGCTGGTCCCACAGAATATATTGTTTCTAATCAAAGTCATGAGTCACTTAACAATGAGGATATGTTCTGCAATGTATCACCAGACATTTCTGTCACAGTGCAAACATCATGGAGTGTACTTACATAAAACTAAATGGTACTGTCTACTATGCACCTAGGTTATATGGTATAATATTATAGGACTGCGCATGTATACTACATATAGTGTATACTACATATAGTCTGGTGTTGACCGGAACACTATCACGGGGCACATGACTCTATGTCACATATTTCCTATGTCACATATTTTAAGTTCAGCACATAGTTTTCCATTGTAATAAGCTTTAAAATATTAATTTTCATGATTATATTACTGGTAGCAAGTTGGTAAAATTCTTTAGTATACAATTTGGCAGCAGACCTCCATTTAATGAGCCCTGAGCTACTTCTCACTTTACATCATCTCTCAACAATCCTTAAAAAAGCTTATTTGGCATCAGCAGGTGGCATGGTGGTTAAGGCTCTGGATGCTCCTACATGGCTGACCACGGTTTGAGTCCCAGACCTGGTGGCTTGCCTTCTCACTTTCCCTCTCTTCCTCCCTGTGTCTGTCTCTGGTCAAATGAAATGAAATGAATGAATGAATAAGATAAAATAAGTAATTTTTTCTTTTAAAAGAAAAAAGCTTACTCAAGATCACAAAGTAAAAGTAATGAAACTAAGATCTGAAGCCACGTATACCAGCCTGGTTCTAAATCCTATCTTTATTTTCATCACTAAATGCTGTCTCCCTGGCTAGAAAGATCAGAAAGGTAATAAAAACAGGTAGATAAGATTAAAAACATGCAAATCAACTCAACCCTCTTCAAACAAGTTAACTTACTGTTTTAAAAAACAAAATGATCTCTTTGGAACCAGCAGTTAGCATAATGGCTATGTTGCTGGACTCTCACGTAGTCGAGTGCGGTTCGAGTCCCGGACCTGGTGGCTTAAACTCACGCCAGGCATGTGTGCATGTGTGCTCAAGATCCCAAGAGGAGAATGGAGGAGAAGGGATTGCGGCATGGCCGTCCCCCCTGGGGGATGATTTCTTGCTTTCTGTCTCTCTGTGTCTGTGTGGCGAGCGCATGCGCCCTATAGCAAAAACCTCTCCAAAAGAAAAAAAAAAGATCTCTTATAAGAGGTCTTCTAAGTTCATATTAAAATGATGTTGAGGATTTGCTTCACAATAATATGAGAGAGGAGATGGAACATGACTGGCCACTATGGGTCACTGCTGAGGATGGACCTTGGTTCAGAAGTGTTCATTAGACTATTATGTCTACTTCTGCATAGATTCTAAATTCTCTATAACAGAGTTAAAAATAATTACTGGAGAAAAATACGAATATTTAGAATATAAATATAAAAATATTGAGGAGCTGGTTGTAAGGCAATGGCAGTGATCCACACAGTAACAGGACCATGAAATAATTGCAGGCCTTTAAGTCCCCCATGTTTAACTCTAGCACACCTGCTGTCATCTGCTGGCTCAGTAGCCCATAAAGATGATCAAGTTGAAGGTGTCTTAAAACCAACTGATGATCCAATAAAAAATATTTTCCACTTACATAAAGTATAAAAATGTGCTGGGGCCAGCAGGTGGTGGAAAGTTAAGGCAGCTGGATGCCATATGGCCAGCTCCATGCTCTGAGTCCCCAGCCCAGGGCCTGAGACATGCCATGCATATGTGCACTAAGTATGCCCAAAATCCAAAGAGGAGAATGGAGGACGGGACAATGTGGCATGGTCATCCCCCCCCCCCCCCCAGCGGTGATTTCTCTCTCTCAGGTGAGCGCATCACCCTACAGCAAACTCAAAACTAAACAAACAAGTGCAAAAGCAAACCACATTATTTAGGGAATATCAACAGGGACTGGTCATGTTTATTTCTTATTCAGGGTGAAGACATTTGTCATGCACACTTTCCAACCCTTTAAATTGAACTTTCCCTTCTCTGTAAACATCAAGTTCCTTGAAGAAAACTGTCTCATCCTTTTAGAACTACCTCCAAGTTCAAAGAATTTTTCTTAAAGTTTCTGTGGCTCTCCATTTCAAAAGCGGAGTGAAGTCAATGAAGAGTTCAAGTGAAATGATGGCAGATCTAGTCGTCACTCCAATGTGCTGCTCGCTTTTCCACTACCTGTACTATGCTTAGGCATTCCCTACAGCAACCAAATCTCCAGTTAATCATTTAACAAACTGGAAAAACATGCCATACAGACCTGGAGAATGGAGCAGGTACAGGTGAAATCTGCAGCTGGGGCAGCACAATGCTGATTCAGAAGCCCCCCCCCAAAGCCAATTTTCATTCCAAACCGCCCCCCCCCCCCGCTTTTTTATAAAGAGAGGGATTTTTGCTATAGGGTGCTTGCATTCGACCAAGCGACAGAAAGCGAGAAGTCTCCCCCCCAAGGGGGATGGCCATGCTGCAAGCCCTTCTCCTCCATTCTCTCAAGATTTTGGGCACACATGTACACATGTCTGGCATGAGCTTTAAGCTGCTGGGTCCAGGTCTTGAACCAGAGTCGACAACATGGGAGTCCAGTGATATAACCATTACTCCATCTGTTGGGCCCCCCCAAATGCATTCTAAATGATCAACTGTGAGGGACCACCAGGTGGTATGGTAGTTAAGGTGCTCTCACATGGCCTACCATAGGTCAAGTCCTAGATCTGGTGCCCTGAAACTCCCATCAGTTCTGCAAGCGTGCCCAAAATCCAGAAAGTAGAATGGAAGAGAAGGGACTGCAGTGTTGCCATCCCACATGGTGGGTGAATTCTTACTTTCTCTTTCTCGGTCTTTGTGTCCCTCCAGCAAGCACAAGTTCCCTATGGCAAAAACCTTAAAAAGAAAAAAAAAGTTAATTTTATTATTATTATTTTAAATTTGTCCAGAGAGAGACATAGAGAAGTGAGAAAGCAAGCTGCCAGCTCCAGGACTCAAACCATAGTCGGCCATGTGGGAATCCAGCACCCCAACCACTAAACCATTTGCCATCCCTCCTTGACTCCTTTTGAGTAAAATAAAAAGAGTATCTCAAGGTCATGCTCATTAAACCAACAGAGCAGAGGCTAGGAGTCAAGGATTTCATGAGACTTACTGGACATTTCTTGGTTTGGACCAGGCCATGTTCTGTGTTTCCTTCAATCCTAGCCGAAGACCGTTCATTGCTCCAAATGCAGCCCCTGGTAAATCACAACATTCATTAAAATGATACAACTTTATACTGAGAACAGCACTTTTGCTTTTTTTCATTTTAAAAGACAAGGCTAAATGCAAACAATTACTAATTATTACACCCACCTGTCATGCAACATCCTCCAATGGTAAAGAAGGCCAGCTCAAATCTGCCCCGGGTTTTATTAGCTCCAGTTGGTAAAATAAATTCGTCTGTATCCTACAGGGGAAATCAAAACAAAGCTGAGTGCCCCTTATGACACAGTGCTTTTTTAAAAAGCAAAACCTAAAATTAACTCAACTGTACTTATTCAAACAAATATAAAAGTTTCTGCAAAAACAGCAACTAAATCAAAGTGAAACAAAATACACACACACGCGTGCGCACACACACAGTTCTCAGGAATGATGCTCACTTAGAACTTGTTTCCTTCACAGTGTAACCAAGACTGTATGTAAGCTGCTTACTTAATGATAAACTTAAAGCCATAGTGAGAGTTTAGGAAGGACAGCTCTAGAGAAAGATATGCCAAAAGCTATGAAAACAACTGATAGGGGATTGGGCCAACCTTATGCCTTGGTGGTTAAGGGAGCTGAATTCCAGACCCGGCAGCTTGGAAACTGGGCTAGGCACATGTGCAACTGTGCCAAAAACCAAAAACCTGACAAGATGGAGAAATAAAGAAGGGACTGCGGTGTGACTATGTCCTGTTGGGAGACTGCTTTCTCCCACCCTCTCCGCTGCCACTCTGGGGAGTATACACACTCTCTCAATTTAAAAATACATTAAAAGAAAAAAATAGTTGATAGGCTATCAATACGGAAGGGAGAACTTTCACACTCTAGCAATCATGGACTGAGCACCACCAAATGATTGTTAACAAATGAGCAAAACTGATTAAAATACAACAATCAGTTAGCTAAGGGTAAATTACTCTTTAATAATCTGTCACTGTTAGGGAGTATATTCCATTCCTCTGGTAATCTTAGAAAGCTATAGACCCTTTCTAGTAAATGCAAACACCAAATTTGCCATGAAACCCTGGAAGATTACCCCAAATCCCAAGTTGAAAAGGCTACTCTATGGGCAAAATACGATCAGCGATCTTCAAGAGTCAAGACACCTTTATAAAGAACCCTCCTCCTTGCCAAGCCTTCCACACCGAGTCGTTACCAGCAGCTCCGGTGGGTGGCAGTCTGGGCAAAAACAGTGTGCTGTACTACCCAAGGGGACTGCCAGCAAGTAGTGACCGTCCCTTCCCTGGGGTCTACCCAACTTTGAGAAAGGCCTTCCTGATGAGGAGAGAACTGTGGCTCTGTACTGGTTTTTGATTTCAGGTGTCTATTCACATTTTCACCAAAAATCATGCACATAAACAAACAATGTCTGCTCTCCACACACAAAAATGGTCTCTTGGGCCAACCCTGAATGGATCCTGTTACGATATAGTGTTCATGGTTTTAGAAATTTTAAGGGCTTCCAGACTAATGATTTTGTTTTAAATTGTGCTTCTAGTCTGCTATATTTGGGGACTGACAGATGGCCTACCAGTTATGTCGCTGTACTGCCGCGTAATCCACTGCAGTTCAAGTCCCAGACCTAGCAGCTTAAAACTCATGCTGGGCACATGTGCATGAGGGCCACAAATCTCGAAAGAATGGAGAAGGGACTGCAGCATGGCCATGCCCCCAGGGGAGTGATTTCTCGCTTTCTCTGGCAAGTGCATGTGTATTCTAGCAAAAATCTCTCTAGAAAAAAAGAAATGCTGTATTTGATCCGATAAGGTCAGTAATTTTCCCTCAACCTAGAAATGGATCGCTAATGAACAATATGAAATAAAAGACAGCTATGATGAACAAAAAAGGAAGCACACACGTTCCTGTCAGCACCCCTCTCAGCTAGTGTCAACAGTAATAAAACGAAGGCTGAAACCAAATGCACATCAAAATATGTTAACACAGAGAATGTAGAGAAGTTGAAAAGGTTTCCACTAAACTTAGGACTTAACTAGTGCTGCTAAGTACCAGGGTTTGCTAACACAGAAGAGAATCGAATAGAGGGTGGGCGTCCACGAACCTAATGAAACGGAAAGCTGAGATTATGTCAACTCTTTAAAAACAAGTGACCAATACTTTGAATGTTGGAACTGTTTACGCTCTCCTTGTTTTTATACCAGATGTTCATCTGGGCTAATAAGAGAAACATTTACTACTTAACATAATTTAAAAAGAAACTTCATGTAAGTGTAGTGACAACACAATTGTTAGCAAGAGAAAACACGGAGAGTGCCTCAGATAAAGGTTGTCTTGGGCCAGCCCCATGGCCTGCTGGTTAAGGGAGCCGATCTCACATGGGTGACCCTGTGGCTTGAGAAACACACTGGGCACATGTGCATGCACGCCAAAAGATCCCAAGAGGAGGGAGAAGTAGAGAAGGGACTGTGCCATTGCCACTCCCCAGAGTGAGTGCTTTCTCCTCTGCTGTCAATAGCAAGTGCATGTGTCCTCTGGCCAAAAGTGTTGCCGAAAACCACGAGTGGATGGGTAGTATTTATGAGGTCTCTAACCTCCATAAGTATGGGAAAGTGTTTTAGAAAACATAATTTCCACTAGGGTATTGTCTTAAATTTAGGTTTTCTATGGTTATTTATAATAACAGAAAGAATGAGATTTAGTAAACAACACAGTTTCATATCAGAAACCCCTTTAGCATTTCAGCGGAAGATGCCAGTATCCCTGTTTTTGACGAGGCCCAGCCTAGATGGCAGACTACGGAGTAATAAACTGCAGTGCAGGAAGCCGCCTGACCCACCCCAGGGTGGATCAGCCCGGATATTCACCACCTAAGATCCGGAGAAGCTAGAGCACTGGGGAAAGGGGATTTTGGTGATGAGACCCTGTCCCTTTCTATTCCCCACCCCTCACAAAATATGCACATGCACTATCATAAAATTTTTTTACAGTTTGTAATGAAATCATAATTTTTTGGATTAAGAACCTTCCTTTATATCTAACCATAAGCCCCACCTATTAACGCAGAGTCACACTGGCACCGTACAACATATGAAACAAAGCTGTACTAGTATATCTGGATTCAACATTTAAACAAGATGTGATTAGCTTTAAAATTTTAAGGAAATACCTGATAGAGGGATACTTTTAAAATACAAATCGGTAAACACCCAGTATTAAAAGGTAACATCTGAGAAACATTTCCTGCAAAAATAAAGAAGCTCCAAACTAGTAAAGTCCTAATCAACTTTCTGCCATGTGAACACTTAACCCAACTGTGAAATGCTGCAGCTGTCAGATGCTGTTCATGATTCAGCTGTGAAACAAAAAGCTCCAAACATTACTTCAAACAACATTTTTATTATTTTTTTTATTTATTTGTTAAACAGGCCCAGCCTAGGTGGTAGTCTGTACGGAACTACACTGCAGTGCTGGAAGCTCCATGGCCAACTGTGGTTTAGACTGGGTTAGCCCAAAAACATGCTGGGCTTGCACACTGGTGCCCAAGATTCTGGGGGAGCTGGAGGGCTAGGGAAACGTAACTCACAGTGTGAGGAGACCCTGTGGACTCTGTGTGCTTTCCATCATTCAAAAAACAAACAAAACCCTGATATACATCAACTATATAATTTATCTATTTAAAGTGTACAACTCAGTGGGTTTTTTGGTAGAGTTGTGCAACGAAGACCACAATCAATTTTAGAGCAGTTTCGTCACTTCCAAAAGAACCTCACACCTGTTAGCAGTTATTCCCTTTACTTCCTAGGCAGCTACTAACCTACTGTGTCTGGGTACGTGCCTGCTCTGGACATTTCATATAAATGGGATCATATTAATATGTGGTCTTCTGTGACTGGCTTCTTTAATTCAGCAAGTTTTCAGGGTTCTTCCACACTGTAGTATATACTGATAATTCATTCTTTTTATTTTCAAATAGTATCTTGTTGTACAAATATGCCACATATTCATACAAACCACTTTGTGGCTATTTTGAGCACTAACATACACCTGGTGTTAACATGTTTCCAATTCTCTTGGATACACACAGAAGAGTAGACCACCAGGTCATAAGGTAAGTATTTTTAACATTCTGAGAAATTGCCAGACTGTTTCCAAAGCAGCTGTATCATTTTACATTCCTACCAGCAAATAAGGAAGGTCCAATTTCTTCATATCCTCACCAATAGGTGAGGATTAGTACTTGTTACTCTGTTACTACTTTTTGATTATATTCAGCCTGGTGAGTGTGAAGCAGTATCTCACTGTGGCTCTGTGATTTATGTTCCTCTAATCAATAATGCTCAACAGCTTTTAAAGTGATCCTGGACATTTGTTTGTAGAGAAATGTCTACTCAGACACTTTGCTCATTTTATAATTACACTGTCTTTTTATTAAAGTTCAAAAAACATTTTGCTGTAGAGCATGTGCACTCACCAGAGAGAAATCAGGGTGAGTGGGGAGAAAGCAGGAAAGCACTCCTCTCTGCTCTGGGGGAAATGATCACACTGAGATCTTTTCTCCGGATTTTAGGCATGCACGCACATATGCCCAGCATGTTTTTCAAACCACGAGGTATAAGACTTGAACGGCATAAGCGGTCAAGTGGGATCCAGCCACTTTAATCACCATGCTGTTGGCTAGCCCTTTAAGGTTTTAGGAGCTTTTTAAAAAACTCTAATATTCTAGAGACCAGCAGTTAGCATAATGGCTATGTTGCTGGACTCCCATGTAGTCGACCACAGTTCGAGTCCCAGAACGGGTGACTTAAAACATGCCGGGCACGTGTGTGTGCGTGCGTGCTCAAGATCCTGAGAAGAGAATGGAGAAGGGATTGTGGCATCACCATCCTCCGGGGGGTGATTTTTCACTTTCTGTCTCTGTCTGGCGAGCGCATGCACCCTAGAGCAAAAACAACTCCCCCCCCCCAAAAAATTTCTAATATTCTAGATTTAACTCCTTTATTAAATACTTAGTATTTCCATTAAATTCAATTGTTAACTTTTCATCACTTGTGCTTTTGGTATCTTATTTAATCACAACTATTTACATCTCTGATTTCTTCTAAAACTTTGTATTAAAGCTTTAGCTCTTACATTTAAGTTTAATCCATTCTGAATGTATATGGTGGGGTCAACTTCTCTCCTTTGCATAGATTCTAGCTGTCTCAGCATTGTTGAAAACAATTTTTGCCACCTGTCTTGGCACCTTTGTTGAAAACCAATGGAATGTAAATAATGTGAGGTTTTATTTCTGAACTTTGAATTCTATTTCAGTGATCTATGGTCTTACTCTTATGTTAATTTTACAATGTCTTAATTGCTGTAGCTTCTAATAAATTTTGAAACTGGGAAACACATGTCTTCCAACTTATTCTTTTTCTGAGATTGTTGGCTACTCTTCACCTCTTTAAGTTTTTTATGAATTTTAGAATCAGCTTGTCAATTTCAGCAAAAAAGCCAGCTGAGATTTTGACAGTCATTGTATTCAAACTGTAGGTCAATATGGGGAGTATCACTGTGTTACTGATATTAAATTTTCCAAGATCATAAAATGTCTTTCCATTTACTTAGGTCTCTTTAAATGTCTTTAATAATCAATAATGTCTTATTGTTTTCAGAGTGTAAATTCTGTACCTCTGTTAAATCTATTACTAAATTTTTTTAATGCGACTTATGCTACTGGTTATGAGATTGTTTTTGTATGGTAATCCCCCCTCATCCACGGGGGATGTATTCCAAGACTCCCAGTAGATGCCTGAAACCACGGAGAGTACAGAATCCTATATATACACTTTGTTTTTTCCTATACATATATGCTTCTGATAAAGTTTAATTTAATAAATTAGGCAAGAGATGCAACCACCAATAACAAGACAGAACAACTATAAATATATACTGTGATAAGTATGTAAATATGTTCTTCCTCAAAATATTATACTGTACATAGACAGTTGACCATGAGAACAAGACTGTGACATCTGCAAATATATTTTGTTTTCCTTTTCAATCTGGAGGCCATTTCATTCTCTTGCCTAACTACCCTTGCTATAGAAGTTGAACAGGAGTGAAGTCTGTCACCATTAAGATGTTAGCTTTGGATATTTTGTAGATGCCATTCCTAGTTTAAGTATTTTTTCAACCATGAAGGGGTGTGATTTTGCCGAATGCTTTTTCTGAGTCTGCTGAGATGTGTTTTCTGTGCTGTATTCTTTCCTTTGTCGTTTATACATACTGACATGGCACAGTACATTGATTTTCAGTTGTTTGCCTTCCTGAGACAGCCAACTATGTTTTGTAGTCCGGTATCCTGATAATGCAAATTGAGCTTTAAAAACAAATCACTTAACTACCTATCATAATACTTTTATTGGGATGATTTTTATTAATTCCTTGTTACTTTAACAAAAATAAAAGAAAACTAAATGGCTTCAGGGAGCAATGCATGCCAAGTCTAGTGGGTGGGGGGGAGTGAATATAAAGGGGGAAAAAAGGCTTAGCGCCTCCAGACGTACATGTTACATTGCGTCATCTGGAAACTCATGACACATTTTTTGCACAGAAAACCAGAAAAATATGTCATAACTTTCCCAAAGACCTAATAGTTCAAGGCAGTGTAAATACTTAAGATGCTGCTGGGTTTTTTTGTTTGTTTGTCTGTTTTGTTTTTAATAGTAAGGTAAGTACCAACCTAGCAAAATCTTAATCTTACCTGCACGAGATATCGTGGATCCACATTTAAATAAGGAGACAGAGGATTCATACCAGTTACTAGAGAGAGAAAAAAATGTCATATTGCAATATAATCCTTTAGTTACTTCATTTAGAGTTAATTCAGTTCCTGAGTGTTACAATATTTTGTATTTTTGATTCATAGGCTCCCTGAATGCGAACATTTTCTTTGTTTTATCTACCCTATCAGTTTGGGGGCTGCCCATCCCAAGGCCCTTAACCCCAAACTAGGTCTCATATAGGTGGCTCAGACTCTCCTACTATTAAGATACTGGCAGTAACACGGATCGAATGATCAAACTAGAAGAAAACATAGCCTCCCGATTGTTATGAAGCTAATTTCTTTCACTTTACAAGAATGTTTGACAACTAAATAAACTGCAAAGTAAGACTAACAAGAGATGAAAAATTCCATGACGAAAACAGTGGTTGAGTGTTGTATACAAACATTTCTCTCTGCTCCCAGTGCTGAGGAGGTGATTTACTGCAGCAAGGTGAAGAAATCCATGTCATTACTAGTGATGGAGGTCAGTGAGAAAGAAATGCAAATTTCCTAAGAGCAGGGCTTTACTTCCATTCACTTCCAAGACAGAAAAATATCTACCAAGAAAAATCAACTTCCCAAATTCTAAATTAAATCTTGGACTCTTCTGTATCTCAGTTGATTGTTCATGACTCTGACCTCATCAATTGAAAGCCTTATTAATTCTGTTTTTCAGTATTCCTCATCTGTCATGCTACCATACTAGCACAACCATCAAATCTCACAGCAAAAATGCTATACCTAACTCCTGGCTTCCTTTTTCCCTTTCAGTTCATTTTTTGTTTTAGATTTTGCCATAGGGCATAAGTGCTCACTGGAGAGAGAGAGAGAGAGGGAAAGTGAGAAATCATCCCCCAAGGAGGATGGCCACACAGCAATCCCCTCTCCTCCATTGTCCTTTTGGAATTTTTGGCAAGCACGCAGGCACACAAGCACACATGCATCCAGTATGGTTTTCATGCTGCTGGGTCTGGGACTTGAACAGTGGACTCAGCCCAGTAGGGTCCTGTGCCTTAACTACCACACCATCTACTGGCCCCTCAGTTCGCTTTCTATACATCAATACCAACTAGTCATTTTCTTAAGGAGATCAGCCCTAATGGTTTCACCTGTACACATGTAATTAAACTTAAACACTTTCATGTGGCTTACAAAACCCTAGCTTAGCTATCATTCCCTGCCTCTTTGATTTCATCAACTCCTACCATCCCATGGCCTGGCAATCCTGCAGATACACTGGTCTAACAGCTGTTTCCTAAACATGCCAAGTCTGTTCAGAATATTCCCATCAACCATTTTCCTGAAAACTCATCTCCCAGGTACCTGCCTTGTACTCAGATGTCAATTCTCAAATGTCAATTCTCTGGCCCATTCTAAAATGGTTCCCTGCTCCCATACTATGTCCCAATCCTGTTATGTTTCCTTTAGGCACTTATCACTAACTGCAGTGTTTTCATTTACGTTACTCGGCTCACTGTAGTAGAATTTAAGCTCCAGGAACACAAGAATCAACTTTCTGTTACCACTGCAGTCCTGCACCCAGAAAAGTAGCTGGCACATTGCAGGGGCTCAATGAACGATGTTTTATTAATGTATTTATTTTCACATTTTGGCCGAAGGGCACATGCATGCCAAGGATAGAGAAAGTGAAAAATCACCCCCCTCAGGGGATGGCTCACACAATCCCTTCTCCTCCATTTGCCTCTCAATTTTGGGCACCCACACATGCACGTAGCAGGGATGAGGTTCAAGCTGCAGGGTCTGGGACTTGAACCACGCACTTGGCCATATGGGATCCAGATGCTTTAACCTCCACACCACCTGCTGGCCCTAGACTCAGTTTTGATACGTCAACACCAGGGACATGACAGGGCTTTTATTTATTTATTTTTTCCTTTGTTGCAGAGTGTCAAGGGCCTGAAGAAATAGCACAAGGACTCTCAAAATGAGACTTTTGCAAGGGCTGTATCTATCACCATCTTTCAAGTTCTACTTACCCAGCTGGGACCTCAGTCCCTAAGATCTGGAATACACAGGCATAGGTATGAGGACAGGCATGGGCAAGGTACTCAAGTCTCTATCCTTGACCTTACCCAATTCCCTTCCTCTAATTCTTACCTGGCTTGTTTTTTCACGTCTAAACATTACTTTCAGAGTTCAGTTCACTTCCCAGCTCCTCCAGAAGGTTTCCTGGCTATTCTCAACTCCTATGCTTCGGACCCGCACGCACGATTATTGTTTTGCCCTAAAAGCTACTTTAGGAATGTGTAACTTTGTGCTTAAAAACATGAACTTGGGCTTGCTATTTGGGATACATTTTCTTGTAGAGCTGGGCGTCTTCTTAATTCAGGGCCAAGCACATGTCCCAACAAACGGAAGCTTGAATATAACCGGAAGAAAACCCGCATCACCTAAGTCAAGGTCAATCACAGAGCTCCCCGGGGATCCAAGGCCCTAAAATCTCCTTACATCTTACAAGAGCGACCCCGTCCCTGGTGCCGAAGCTTGTGAACGCCGGCCCGAAACAAATACGTAACGAGCAAGGCCGCACGTCTGGTGCAGGGGAAGGGACCGATCACGGCTGTTAGCACGCTAGGCCCGATACTTACGCGGGACGCCGGCCAAATCCGCGTGCGAGTACCCCGCTCCGCCCGCTCCAAAAAAGCCGGCCAAGCCCCCTGTGGTCTTGTTGCCGCTCCCCCCGCCGCCCTCCATGGCGTCGCAGCAATCGGTGGGTCTGTGCCCGCCGCCGCCTCAGGCCGGGGTCGTGTGCGCGGCGGCGGATTACGGGAGCAGCCGGCACCCCGCGTCGCCTCCGCCTCCTTCACACGCTGACCTTCCGGAAGCCGGTTCCCGCTAAGCGCCACACTTCCGCTTTGCGGCAGTGTACGCCCCGGAAGCCGGAAGCGCCTGACGGTAGCTTTCCGGTGGTGGGAAAGTGAAGGCAGCCAGAGTCAAAGCGGCGCGTCCTGAGGCAGGTGGGGTGCTGCGGAAGAGGGCAGGCAGGCGGCGGCGGCTCGCACCTCCCGAGGGCCGCGGCGGAGAGGGAATGGAGCGGGGAGGCGCCGCGGAGGCGCCGTCCGTCCCGCTCGGGGTTAGGGAACGAGGCTCTGCGCCCGGGCTGGCCCGGGAGCTGTGAGCTGCGGGTCCCAGCATGAGTGCGGGCCCCGGCTGTGAGCCCTGCACCAAGCGACCCCGCTGGGGCGCCGCTGCGACGTCTCCGCCGGCTGCCCCCGAAGCTTCCCCGGCAGGCAGAGGCGCGTCCTCGACCCCAAGGACGCTCCCGTGCAGTTCAGGGTCCCGCCGTCCTCGCCAGGCTGCGTCCCGGGGCGGGCGGGACCGCACAGAGGCAGCGCCACCTCGTTTGGTACGTAGGGAAATAAAAAAATCTTTGTCCTTTGCCTCTGGTCTCAGTCTGAGGACGCAGGGGCTCCAGTCAACCCTTCTGGTATGGTGCACTATTCTGAAGTCCCCTTGAGAGCCCCCAAGGCCCTTAGTGGAGACGGGACGCCGCGTTTTCCCCGGCGCTGCGGTTGTGAGAAACACCGAAAATGGCAGGAGACTTCCTCCACTTGTTCGTTTTCCCCAGGTTTGATTGAGCTACTGCCTTGTTCGTCAAGGAGATCTTGTTAAGCAGTAAGGCGCTCTAGGTGGAAAGAGGCAGTTGCAACTTCACCCATTTCGGTTCGGAGTTCCTGGGTGCAGAACTATTGGACTTAACTGGCATCGTACTTGTCCCTGGTCACAGTGTTACACCAAGAGGAACTTGGCGTTTGCCTCCCAGAGACTTCTTAGGAGAGAAACAAAAGTGGAGCTCAGTATAATAGTTAATAAAGGATAATGAAGTGAACTGATAGGTGAGGGACAGATTGTTCTTGTAGGAAACCATGTGTGCCTAACGTAGCTTGTGGGATCAGAGATAGTCCTGCAGGGGTGAGATGCATATTCTGAGGGCGGGAGAGTGAATAAGAGTTAGCTAGATGAAAGGAAGAAAGGAAATGTTTTGGGCAACTGATGCCTGCAGTGAACTGGGTGCGACTGTTGAATACAGTGAAAAGGGTAGAGTAGTGGGACTATGGCAGGTTCAAAAGAATTAGATCAGACTGGGATATGGAGACAGTACTAAGGATTTTGAACTTTATCTCCACAGGCAAGGAAAGACCAGTAAAGGGTTTTCAGTAGGGAAGTAACTTGATTAGTTGTTTTGTTTTTTTTAATAGATTTTTTTATTTTGAGTGCCTGTGCTTGTTGGAGAGACAGAAAGTGAGCCCCCCCCCCTCCCCCTCCATGACCATGTCGCAATCCCTTCTCCATCCTCCAGGGATTTGGGGCACACACATGCCCAATATGAGCTTCAAGTTGCCAGGTCTGGGACTAGAACCACAGTCCACCATGTAGAAGTCCCATGCCTTAACCACTGTGCCACTCACTGGTCCCTTGATTAGACCTTTTTGTTTGTAAAAAGTCCTTGTGGCTGATGTTTAGAAAATGAAGAAGGACTTGAAAGGGAGCACAAGTGCAGGTCCAAGACTAAATAGTTAGGTGGGAGGCAGTCATGGCCTAGATTCAGCTGTGGTCAGTAGGAACGGGGAGAAGTGGAGAGATTCAGGAGAGAAGGGGATCCTTGGGCGTCTACCTCAGGAGAAATGTAACTACTGGAGAAGTAGAGTAGGGTTCTTGGTATACTTGTGGTAGCAGCTGCTGTGGGCATAGATTAGATCATACAAGCGTGTAAAGAAAGTAAAGATGACCCAAGACAGAACCTTTAGGAACACTGACATTTAAGGATAGGCTGAAAAAAAGCCAGAGAGGTGGGAGGAAAGTGTGGTTTGTGTCATGTCATGCAGAGAAGAGATTTCAAAAAACATGTGTTGGTTAACAGTGTAAGAAGTCGGACAGAAGTCAAGTAGTCTCCTGGTGAATGGTTTACAAGTAGGTGTCTTAGGACTTAGAGTATGGGCGAGACTTGAACTAAGTCTTGAAAGCTGATCAGGATTTGCTCTGTAAATCAGAGGGAAAGAATTACCCAGGCAGAGGGAACAGCACAGACACAAGGTGATAAGACAAGCACAGAATGACAGAGAGACATACTAGATAAGGCTGAGAAAATGGGAGATACTGAATGCTTTTTGAACTTTACTCTGGTTATTGGAGAGACACAAAAGCTTTAAAGCAGGGGAATATCATTAATTCATATTTTAGAAAAGGTGACTTGAGCAGTGACTTTTGGAGTACAATCCACAGTATAAAGTTTATTTGTTACACAGAATACAAAATATATATGTATAACCTGGCAAATATGTCCTATTTATAACTGAAACATGTTTCAGAAATGACTTTCAACCCTTGTTACATGTGATGCATTCTTACATTGTCTGTATCATTTCATGGAAAAAAAATGTCAGTCATTTGTAGTTGTTAAAGCATGGTATTAGAGAAAGTCAATCTGTAGACAGGAAGGCCAGTTGCAGAAAACAAAGAACAGTTGTCTAATAAGTGATGCATTTTAAATGCATAAGGAGGGGTTGGATTTATAATTTAGCATATAGATTTCAGAGATCTTGGTATAGGGGAACTGAAGGCAAATATCATGTATTGTATCTGACTTCTGTGGCTGGGTAATTTGCGGTCCCTTATTAACTATTTACTTGTAAAGGAGGAAGAGTCAGATAGGAAAGAGGACAGCCAGTTCTCAGTGGTTGGATCTTGAGTTTTCTACAGGAAAGGAACCAAATTTTTACAGCAGCAGTCATACTTTCTAAGAACCTTACTGGACACCCAAAACCACAGATAGTACCAAACCCCGTAGATTGTGTTTTTTTCCCCATCTGATAACCGAGACAGCAATTGAATGACTGGTGGGGCAGTAGGGAGTACAGTGTGGATAAGCTGGACAAAGGGGTGATTCATATCCTGTGCTGGATTACACAAGATTTCATCGCAGTCCTCAGAATGGTGCACCGTTCAGAACTTGAGAACGACCTACTTGTTGACCATGGTGACTTCAACCTTGGAAAGGGAAACCATAGAAAAGGCAGGACTACTGTACTTGGGCTGTACTTCATGTGTGTGAATGTTTTCTGTGTACCCGGCACAGGACACCAGTGAACAGGATGTTCAATTTTTATCAAAAAACCCATTGCTTTCAAACTTTGGAACCCTTTTAGGAACCTGGTATTTATTTTTTTAAAGGTCTCTGCCATAGGGTGTGTGCCCTCACTGGATAGAAGAGATACAGAAAAATACAGAGAGGGAAAATGAGAAATTACCCCCTAGGGCTGATGGCCATGCCGCAGTCCCTTCTACCTTCTCCTCCTGGGATTTTGGGCACACATGCAGGCGCCCAGTGTGTTTCAAGTCACCAGGTCTGGGACTCAAACCGTGTAGTCAGCCATAGGGAAATCCAGCTACCTTTAGCACTGCCTGTTGGCCCAGGTATTCAAATTTTAAAAATATAGTCATCTTAGGAAAAGTAGGTAGATGGGAAAATGGGTATTTATTCAGGTTTCTTTGATTTTGTATTATCTGTCGTCTTGTGAACCTCCTGGATTTGGATTGTGGAATCTTGGCTCTGAGTGTGGCTTCCAACAGTTTTTTCATTGCCATTGGGCATGGATACTTGCCAGAGAGAGAGAGAAAAAAAAAAAATCCCCCCCAGGGGTGTGGTCATGCTGTGATTCCCTTCTCCATTTCTCCATGGCACGCAAGTGTATCTGGAATGTCTTTGTGCCCCTGGGGTCTGGAGTCCAGTCATGGTCCACCATGTGGGATCCAGCTCCCTTAACCTCTAAACTCTGGGGCTAGCCCTGTGTGTTCATTTTTTAAGGCATAATTCAAGCACCACTCTTTCTAGGAGATCTTACTTATTATCCCTCCTAACTCCTGTTCCCTGAAGAAGTCTTTTTATGGGAAATACCTACTTCCTTATTTTAAAAAAAATCAAAATAATTAACCCACTTGAGCCTCTTTAGCACAGTGGTTAAACCCCATTGGGGGGTGTTGTGTGCTTGCTTTCTTTTTCTCTTACACATGCACCCTCTGACAACTAAAAAACGAACTAATATTTACAGAGCTTATACCAGATAGTGCCCTAGATACTTTATTACTTAATTTCAAGCTCACATTAACCTCATGAGCGATACTGTTAATTTCCATGTTTCACAGATAAATAATGTGAGACACAGAGAAATGATCTTCTGGTCATAAAGGAAGTCAGTGAGGACCAGGATTCAAATCCACATTTTCTGATTCCAGAGCCTGTGCTCTTAACTATTAAGCCATATAAACTCTTTCATGCTGTAGTCACTTTTCTACCCATGACATATGTGTTAATATTTGTGTTCCTGTCTTATCTCTTAGTACTTGAGTGTGAAAGTAGTAATTAATGTTTGTTCAACACAGAATCTAGTGTAATGCTTTGCATCTATAATATGTTATATATTCAGTTTGCTGGAATATATGCATTAGTTTTTTATTTTTACTTTATACAGTTTTCAAACAAAAGACTATCACTAGTTGGATGGACACTAAAGGAGTCAAGACAGCTGAATCAGAAAGGTATAGAAAAATGCCTATAATAAAATGGATTTTTTTTTGTTTCCTGATATTTTTCTTTATTTCCTATTTTCCTTTACAATGATTGATTCTTGCTACTTAAAAATAATTTTCTATGTTCAAGAACCCTCCTACATACTTGAAATAAAGATACGAAAGAAAAATTGTCCTTATATTTAATATACTTACAGTGTAGTGTTGGCAGCATACACAAAAACATACTGCCTGGTGTGATAAAAGCAGCAATAAAGATGTGAGCAATGCTTAGAGGTTTGCTTAGGGGTGATCAGCATATATTATTGAAGAAGCAAGTGATCAGCTTTACTTTTGGGCTCTAAGGGAAGACTGTGTAAGGAAGTGAATGAAGTTGAAGACTCAAAGGAAAGGCAGGTGCCCACAGGCAGGTAGCTGGGGGAAGGGCACTTTAGGCACACACGCAAAGATAGTCCTGAAAGCATGCTGCGGGCTCAGGTAACCACAGGGAGTTTAATTGTAACGTTGTGAGGGTGTGGTTTGTAAGATAAGTGACCTTTATAGTTCTTTCTGCTCTCTTGTAGTTTGCCTAGTAAAGAAAACAATAATACGAGGATAGAATCCATGATGAGTTCTGTACAGAAAGACAACTTTTACCAGCATAACATGGAAAAACTAGAAAATGTTTCTCAACTAAGTCTTGATAAATCACCCATTGAGAAAAGTACCCAGTATTTGAACCAGCATCAAACTGCAGCTATATGTAAGTGGCAAAATGAAGGAAAACAAACAGAACAGCTTTTGGAAAGTGAACCTTCGACAGTAACTCTGGTACCAGAGCAGTTTAGCAATGCTAATATTGATCAGTCACACCAAAATGATGATCATAGTGAAACAGATAGTGAAGACAATAGAGATAATCAACAATTTCTGACACCTATAAAACTTGAAAATGCAAAACAGACCACTGGTGATGAACAGACCAGAGAAGCCAGAAGCCACCAGAAGTGTAGCAAGTCTTGTCATCATGGGGTGGACTGTACCACCTGTCAGCAGGAGAAGACAGATGTGGTGCCAGAGAGTCCATTGTCAGATGTTGGCCCTGAGGACATTGATGCTGGACCAAGAAAGAACAAATTGAGTAGACAAGAAAGTAGCCTGAGAAATTCTCCTCCATTTGAGAAGGAAAGTGAACCTGAGTCGCCAATGGATGTAGATAATTCCAAAAATAGTTGTCAAGACTCTGAAGCAGATGAAGAGACAAGCCCAGGTTTTGATGAACAAGAAGATGGTAGTTCCTCCCAAACAGCAAGTAAACCTTCAAGGCCCCAAGAAAGAGAGGCCGACACTGAATGCAGGAGACGGCCCTCTGCTAAGGGAGGCGGGATTCGGTCACATTTCCAGTTTGAAGGAGGAGAGGACTGCACGGGAATGAATGATGTGCACGCAAAACTACCTGGAAGTACTTCTGCCTTGAATGTAGAATGCAGAAATTCCAAGCAACATGGAAAAAAGGATTCTAAAATCACAGATCATTTTGTGAGACTCCCTAAAGCAGAAGACAAAAGGTAATTTCCAACAGGAGTATCTCTCCAATAATGTAATACATTTTAAAATTTTTTTTAAGTTTTTTTTATTGTGTGCGTGTGTGTGTGTGTGTGCACGTGCACACTCACCAGAGAGAGAGAGACAGAGACAGAGACAGGGAAAGTGAGAAATCATTCCTCAGGTGGAATGGCCATGCCACAATCCCTTCTCCATTCTCCTCTCCAGATTTTGGACATGTATGCACACTTGCTGACAGGAGTGTCAAGCCTCCAGGTCTGGAACTCGAACCGTAGTCAGCCATGTGAGAGTCCATCACCTTAACCACTATGGCACCTGCTTTTATAATTTTATAAGAAGGTTTAACGAAGTTATGATTCATGGTAAACCAGAGAAATAATTGTGCTTTCTGTAAAGCATTTATGCTAAATTTATACTGATACTTTAAGGTTAAATTCTAAAAAGGCAAGAAGTAGAAAACAAATAAAATAAAAAATTGGTGATCATATTTTTAGTTTCATGAACTTCATGGAATTTATGGGAATCATTAGAACATGGAACTATTACACTGACAGTAGCTGCTGTTTATTTAGCTAGACATTGTTCCAGGCCGCTGTACGTTACACCTTCCCTAACACTCTGGTGGGCAGACAGATAGTATTTTACTCACTTTATAAATAAGAAACCTGAAATTTGGGCTAGAGAATTTCCTGAAATCATGTAACTTGTAGGTGGCAGTACTGGAATTTAAATCCATGTGTGTTGGATCATAAAGCTTGTATTTTTGCCACTATTTCTTATGGTGTCTTAAAGCCCACTAAGTGATTTCTTCTATCTCAGTTTTCGACCTAATACATGTCCTTCAAAATTTCTCCCACAGCCTATTGAAGTAAGTGCTGGGTTTTAATTTAAGCACTCTAAGTTATTCTCTCGATTGTAAACATAAAACAGTCCAAAGTAAGAGAGCAAGGAAGGCACATTTTGAACAATAACATTCTGGTATGTATCCAAGGGAATTGAAATAGTCAATAATTTGTGATCGAATGTATTTGTCTTGACCTTAGAAAAGAACAATGTGAAATCAGACATCAAAGAACAGAAAGGAAGATCCCCAAATACATTCCGCCTCACCTTTCTCCAGATAAGAAGTGGCTTGGAACCCCGATTGAGGAGATGAGAAGAATGCCCCACTGTGGGATCCGGCTGCCTCCCTTGAGGCCATCTACCAATCACACAGTGACTGTTCGAGTGGGTATTAACTTTTGTCTGTGAAAAGAAGAGATGGAAGTCCTGATTTATTGTAATATTTGTTAATGTGAAAAGCAGAGCATGGCATAGAAAGTTCTCGTCTTTTCTGTATATATAAGCTACTGAGCATCTGTAGTATGGAGAAATGTAATAGTTTACTTAATGCAGTACTTAACTAACCAGGATAATGAGTCATTGACAGATGATAAAATTGAACGGTTCAGTATTTTTGAAAACCTCATTGGGTTCTTTTTTTTACCCCCTTTCAATTTAGTTGGAGGTATTTATTGAGCGTCCCTTATATGTTAATACTCGCTAGGTTCCTAAAATTCAAAGTTGTGTATAGTTCAGTACCCTTAAATTATATTACAATTTTGCCCTTTTTTCTGAGCTTTAGATTCTTGTGGATATCTTCATCACTACCTCAAAAAGAGAAAGCAGTATCCACCTAGGCATATAGGTATGAAAGTGAGTTTGTTGTGTTTAAGCGGTTACAAATCTACTGACTTGTCTGGAGTAAATGGTGTTTGCAAAAGAGAGTATGTGAAAACAGGGACCAGCAGATGGTGTCATGGGTATGTCACTGAACTCCCATGCAGTCAGCTGCAATTTAAGTCCCAGACTGGCAACTTAAAAGTCATGCTGGGCATATGTGCATGTGTGCCCCAGATCCTGAGAGGAGACTAGAGGAGAAGGGATTGAGGTGTGGCCACCCCCTTGCGGGGTGATTTCTCTCTCTTTGTTTCTCTCTGATGAGCACACTCACCCTATAGCAAAAATCTCAAGGAGAGTATGTGAAAAATGGAATGACATTTGGAATCAGACTGTAGGTATAATGGGATAAAAAGCCTCAGAATACTTTAGGAGAAGATAATGTTATTCCAACTAGGAATGAGGGTTTTATGCAGGATGAATGTTAAGAGAATAGTTGAAGTTAGGGAGAGGGATAGGAGGCTGTTGGCAGAAATTCAGGCAGGGAATGAGGAGGGCCTGGGGCCCAGATGTGACAGAGTACACGGGACATGTGACTTCAGAACTGCTTGAATGGAGGCGAGCAATGGGAACAGCTGAGGAGGACTTCTGACATTTGCCCAGAGCTGGCTTCTTTCTCCTTTATCCCCCTTTTATTAGAGGGAGAGAACAATATAGGTATTTTGTTTCATTGCTGGAGGGCTTGTTTGTTCTCCAGAAACAGAGAACGAGAGAAAGTGCCCCTTAGCAGGGCATGATCATGCCACAGTCCTCCTCTATTACTCCATTTTGTCCTGTCAGAGTTTTGGGCACCCACTACCATGTGACCAGCATATTTTTCAAGCCACTGGGGCCAGGATTCGAACATTACCAGCCACATGGAATCTGGTTCCCCATGCTCTGTGCTTGATCACTGTTAAAGTAAAGCTGCAGAGATAGGTATTTTCGAGGGAGCCTTGCCATGTTAGGATCTTTTGCTCAGTTTCCATTTAATAGGGTACAGGCATGCACAGCTGTATCCTGTGTTTTTCAGGTTGGCCTTATAACTAAACCCAGGCCTCTCCTGGGGCCTCCAGCCTTCCAAATGATGGCCATGGCCTCTCTCATACCATTGCCTTTAACTACTTTCTTTGGATTATTTATAGACGGTACACTTACAGTTTTTATGCACTTAAAATTGTCTTGTTTACCTTCTATTTCAGGTAGATCTTTTACGAGCAGGAGAAGTTCCTAAACCTTTCCCAACACATTATAAAGATTTGTGGGATAACAAGCATGTTAAAATGCCTTGTTCAGAACAGAACTTGTACCCGGTGGAAGATGAGGTAAGAACAAAACTGAGGTTCTTTTAGTCTCTGAAAGATGATTTGGTACAAACTGACTGGCATCTGATTCTTTGTTGCAGAATAAGACTAATTTTCTCACTTTTTTTTTTTCCTTTTTTCCTAAAAGAATGGCGAGCGAACTGCAGGAAGCCGGTGGGAGCTCATTCAGACTGCACTTCTGAACAAATTCACACGGCCCCAAAACCTGAAGGTATGTTTTTTTTTTTTTTTTTTGCCATTCTTGACTCTTAAAGCTCTTTGAGATGAACCCTGTGTCTCCTCCTTCAAACTTTGTATCATCTTAAGAGACTCAGGTAATAATATTCTTTGCCCTTTTTTTTTTTTTTTCTTTTTTAATCACTGGAGGGTACCTGTGTTTGCCAGAGAGAGAGAGAAAGAAAGCACCACTCCTTCCCAGGGGGCATGGTCATGCTGTAATCCCTCCTCCTCCATCTCGGTCCTGTCGGAACTTGGGACATGTACACACATACACTCTGTGTATTTCAGCGTGTCAGGGCCTGGGCTCAAACTGGTCAGCCATGTGGCATCCAGATCCTTGAACCAGCAGGCCATGGTGCTGACCTTTGGTAACAGCTTCCTTTATATGCAAACTACTTATTCTTGGTGTTACAGAACACTCCTTAGAGACATTGCTGAGTTCTGCTCCATCACTGGGAAATGGGAAGAATTAAAGATTATAAATGACTTGCCTAGAGCCACACGAAATAACTTGGAGAACTTGATTCCCCATCCAATTTCCTTCAATACAATCTTCTCTTTTATTTTTTGTTTTGAAATTATTGTATTTCTGAAATGTCTTTAAAAGTAAATCAGGAAAGAATTACTTCAGCAATATTTGCCCAAAGGGAAGCTGAGTTTCCTAATGATTAAAGTGTACATTAAACATTCTATTTTTTTGTTGCACTTACTATAGCTTCTTGCACTTTAATAATTTATTTACTAATCTTATGTCTTGGCAATAATTCACTTTTTGATTTTTTTATACTTAAATTAAGACTGTTAGGGGAGCCATTATACTGTTTTCTTACTGTCTAAAATGAGTGAGTGCATATACATGCATTTGGGATAGGCACTATAGCCATGGAGACTTTTAAGGCTTTTATACATATAAAATGATAGAATTTTCTGTACTTCTCTGAAAACGATTTTCATTTTCTTTCAGAAATGAAGTTGTGCATGTTTCTTGGGTTTTATAATGTTTTCCACCTGTACTTGCAAGTTATGCTACAACTTTATACACCTTTCTGTAGTTTTTTGTGTATTTTCTTTATTTACAGGAAAAGCATTAAGTTTTTTTGCCATATGAATTTTTTTGTTTGTTTGTTTGTTTTTGGAGAGGTTTTTGCTATAGGGCGCATGCGCTTGCTCGCCAGAAAGACAGAGAGATACAGAGAGACAGAAAGCAAGAAATCACACCCCTCCTGCCCCCCGGGGATGGCCACGCCTTTCTCTTCTGTCTCCTTTTGGGATATTGGGCATGCATGCACATGCGCCTGGTGTGAGTTTAAGCCACCAGGTCCGGGACTCAAACTGCTGTTGAGTACATGGGAGTCCAGTGACATAGCCATTATACCAACTGCTGGTCCCTTCCTTGCCATATGGATTTTTAAAATTTAATTCCTTAGGAACAATGTTTCTTAGTCTTGTAATAGACTTCTTTTAAGTGGACTCCTTTGAAATGGAAAAATTCTCGACCTGACAGGGTTAACTTATTTTTAGGATGATGTTAATTACCCATAAAATATGAAACTATTCATAAATGTAAGTTTCTTAGACTTACAGTGCCTGTAGAGCTATGTCAGATTTTTTCCTTAAGCATGATGAACCTCATTATTTGTTTTGTTTGTTATCACAGTATAAACAATTTGTAGTCAGTATTTCTTTTGCACGGAAATTTCTTCTTCTTTTTTTTTTTGGAGATGTTTTTGCTATAGGCCGCGTGCTCGCCAGAAAGACAGTGAGAAATAGAAAGTGAGAAATGGCCACATTACAACCACAATCCTTTCTCCTCCATTCTCCTCTCAGGATCTTGGGCATGCACATATACGCGCCTGGTGTGGGTTTAAGCCACTGCGTCTGGGACTTTAACCGCAGTCGACTACATGGGAGTCCAGCGACATAGCCATTATGCCAACTGCTGGTCCCAAATCTTTTAATTCTTATTGGAAAATTTTATTTTATGGCTTGTGAGAGAAAAATAAAAATTCTTTTTTGCTGTGTTATATTATGGTTGATTTTTTTTCCCTTTCTTTCTTTTGGAAGAACTTGGGTATCCACTGATTCCAAGTAAATAAGATACACTTTGTTGGCTCATTTTTTACCCCAGAATTTTGGTGATCATTTGTGTGTCATGAGGTATTTTCTAGGAAACTCTTTTGCATAGTGTCAATGTTTTAGAAACGTCTCTAACGATAAAGGTATTTAGAAGGCTCATAGTAGTGATTGATGCAGTGGTTTTTAGTCTTGAGTGCTGCTCTTTCAGTTAAAACATTTTGAGTGTGTAGTCAATATAAGTAGTTTATATATTCTGCATCTTTATTGGTTTATTTATGTAAACATGTTTTATAAATATAAGTAAAATAGGTATTAAAAGGATGAGATAAAATGTAATTATAAATAATAGTTTTTTTTCCCCCCCATAGGGCATATGTGTGCACCAATTAGAGATTGAAAGAGAGAGGGGGAGAGAAAGTTAACATTCCCTAGGGGAGATGACCATGCCGCATCCTTGTCTTCCATTCTCTTCTCTGGATTTTTTTTTTGTGTGTGTGCTTTTTAAGCTGCTACTTCTGGGACTCCATCTGCGCAGTCAGCCGTGTGGGATCAGCACTTAACCATCACACCACCTGGCCGACCTATAAATAGTAGATTTTCTTCACACAGCTGACAGATTGTCTTTATGTATATCTGGTTATGTGTGCATAGTCAGGTATGTGCAAACCAGGTGTGTGATATTGCCTGTTCAGATAGTTAAAAGTTACACCAGTAGATGGCGTAATGTTTTGCTTTTTCATTCTACATAAATATGTAATTTATATGATCTGCTGGGTGAAGATAACCATTTATATGTAGCTGATAAAAATAGGGGAATAGCCAGTTGTGTGTTTTAGGGAGTGCTTCTCAACTCTTTTTTTCAGTATTGCTTTCCACTTCAGGAATCTAACATTTCTTTCTTAATCTTGCCCCTCCCCCTCAGGGAAATTTACTAGTGCAAATTTACTGTATCTGTATGTATAATGTGATGCTTTTGAGGGCATGGAACATTGTGATGTGTATTTTTATTTTTTTCTCCCAAGATCCAATTTTGTCCACTTGGAATATATCACTTCTGTTGAGAATGTGTGCCTTAGGGTAATTACGTTTTTTCCCTCTATTACTTGACCTTTCTAATACCATTTTTCTTAAGCAAATCATGAATTAGTTTGCTTCTACTTGTCCATAGCTACTGGATGGAGTAGATAATGGTAGATGGAAACTTTTTCATCATTAAGAAATTTACTGGAAATAGTTCGTAAAAGACAGAGCTATATATTGATAATTCATTTGGCTATATCATGAGGTTCTGTTTCTGCTTTTTCCATAGGATGCAATTCTGAAATACAATGTGGCATATTCTAAGAAATGGGACTTTACAGCTTTGGTTGATTTCTGGGATAAGGTAAAATTATGTTTACTCCTTTAACTATGAAAATAATAGGAGAGCTCTATAAGAAGATTTGAAGAACATACCTATGATTCTGCTACACTATCACAATGGTCATCTTTCATTTTTGTGAATTTCTTTTTATTTTATATACATGTTCAGGTAACTATAATTAGGAATTAATATTGAATTTTATTTTATTCTCTTATAGTATGCATTTTCTGTTATATTGTCATACCCTTGTTAATATTACCAGTGGATCCTAATGTTCCATGACTAGATCTGCAGATTTAATCATTCCCGTGTTCTCAGACATCAAGGCTACATACAGTTATACAGAGTCATGTCTGCGTGTATGAGTTTGTGTGTGTGTGTGTATTTTTCTCTATATTTGATATTATTTCTTTAGATGAGTCCCAGAAATTAGGTGACTATGTCAGAGGACACAAAACATTTATGGCTTTATGTGTCACAAAGTGATTTCTCACAGGGGATTGGAGCAATTTACTGTGCTACTACTGATAAGTAAGAATACCTTCCACTTTTTTTTTCTTTTTTTCTTTTAAATTTTTAAATTTATTCACTCATTTATTTTAATTTGACCAGAGAGAGACTGAGAGAGAGGAAGTGAGAAAGCAAGTCACTAGATTCAGGACTTGAACCATGATTGGCCATGTGGTTGTCTCCAGCGCCTTAACCACCACACCACCTGCTGGTCCCTCTTTTTTTTTTTCTTAAGGTTTTTACCATAGGGCTTGTGCACTCATTAGAGAGGGACAGTGAGAGAAAAAGTGAGAAATCACACCCCTCTCCCAAGAGGGGATGGCCATGCCACAATTCCTTCTCCATTTTCCTCTTGGGATTTTGGGCGCAGATGCACACATACCTAGTGTGATATTTTAAGCTGCAGGTCTGGGACTAAATCTGCAGTTAGCCATGTGGGAGTCCAGTGCCTTAACCTCTATGCCACATGCTAGCCTCAGAATACCACTCTTGTGGTACCATTAGCAGAGGGGCACCAGTCATTTAAAAAATGGCACTGTATATATTTTTAATATTTTATTTTAGAATAATTATAAATTCAGAATTTGCAAAGAAATTTGCAGAGAAATCCTAATTGCCCTTTATCCCACCTTTTTCAGTGTTGACTAGTATTATTATAAGTAATACCAAAACCAGGAAATTGACGTAAGAGTGTAATTTAGATTTCAGAAGTTATAAATGTAGTCGTTCGTATTTATGTATAGTCAGTTATGTCACATGTTATAGGGGCATCGTGTAATGACTACCATAGTCAAGATAGGGGGCTGTTGGGTCACTGCTTTACTCACCATACCGCGCCTTAGGAGCCATACTGAATCATCTTTCTAATCCCGGCAGCCACTCACCTGTCCTTGAGCTCTGTAGTTTTCAAGTTCCTTTTTCTCACTCAGCATATTTCCCTTGAGTGCCATTCAAATGGATTAATTTTTTTCCTTTTTATTGCTGAGAAGTATTCCATGGTATAAATGGATCATATAATTTAACAATAGCCCCATTTAAGGATTTTTGAGTTGCTTCCAGTTCCAGGGTTTTACAACTAAAGATGGTAGGAACTTTCATGTACAGGTTTTTTTTTGTTTGCTTGTTTGTTTTTAAGAGATTATTGCTATAGGGTGCCTGTGCTCATCAGAAAGACAGCAAGAAATCACCTTTTCCCTTGAGGGGGGAGTGACCACACTGTATTCCCTTGTCTTCCATTCTCCCCTCAGGATTTTGGGCATGCACACATACCTGGCGTGAGTTTCAAGCGTTCGGGTCCAGAACATGAACTGTGGTCAGCTGTGTGGGAGTCCAGTTACATAACCATTATGCCATCTGTTGGTCCCTCATGTACATGAATGTAGTTTTTTATTTTGTGAGAGAAATGTGCAAGAGTGGCAATGGCCAGGTTGCTGTAGGTATATTTTTAGTTTTTTGAAGAAAATGCCAAATTACTTACCAGAGGAGCTATACCAAATAATCCCAATAAACCATTGCCAAGTAATTAAGCCCTTCCAACCAAAGAAGCTGTCATATACAATTTGTTTTAGAAATTTATAATTTGATTCTTCAGCTTTCTAAAATTATTTTTAGTCATCCAAATTGTTTATGTTTCATGAATATAGAAACTAAAAGTAATTTTGAAATAACTTTTTCTTTCTTTCTTTTTTTTTTTTTTTAAGTTTTTGCTATAGGGTGTATGTGCTTTTGGGAGACTCACACTGAGAGGGAATGGGAACACACTCCCCCATGGGGAATGGCCACACTGCAGTCTCTTCTCTCAAGATTTTGGGGATGTATGCATAACACATGCCCAGCATGATTTTTTCTTTCTTTTAAGATTTTTTGCTATAGGGCACATGCACTCGCCAGAGATAACAGAGAAACAGAGAGAAAGTGAGAAACCACGCCTTAGGAGAAGATGGCCAAGCTGCAGTCCCTCCTCTATTCTCATCTTTGGATTTTGGGCATGTATGCATATGCATCAGGTATGAGTTTTAAGCCGCTGGGTCTGGGACTCAAACTGTTGTCAACTATGTGAGAGTCCAGTGCCTTAACCACTGTGCCACCTGCTGCCCCTTCCATGACAGATTTTTAAATTTCCCTTGTGGCACTGCTACTCTGCCTTTGCCTTGCTTTATTTGTGAAATGTAGACATCATCTATTATGTTTAAAGTCTCGTGAGGCAGAGACTGAATCTTATTCTACTTTGTGTTCATATCAGTGAGTATAGTGCCTTAAACGTACTAAGTGTAAGGCATGTACTATGCATAAGTGCCTTACATGAAGCATGTTTTCCATAAATATTTATGGGCCTGATCTCAACAGGGGTTGGGTAGTCATACTGGTTTTCAGGAATTTTAAGGTCAGTGGAATATGATCTGTTGTTAGAAGTAAAGGTTCAAGTTAATAAAAATGGCACAAGACACACCCAGATAGAACAAACGTCTTCTGTGTGCTCTTTTAGCTAGGCTGTTGCAGCACCCATCGCTTGTTTCTGGTGATATTAGCACACAGAAGCTCTTCCTGTCCTCGAGTACCGCCAGGAGGGAGCCAAAAGAAAGTGTGATGGTGTCAGGAATCAGATGTTCAGAGTTTTGTGAATCCTTGTAGATAATACTACCTATTAATTTGCAGAGCCTGAAAATATGACTTTACATTTCTTTTTTGTTTTGTTTTGTTTCTGCTATAGGGTACTTGTGCTTACCAGAGAGAGACAGAGACAGTGACGGGGAAAAATGAGAGATCACTCCCCAGGGGGGATGGTCACACTGCAATCTCTACTCTCTTCTTGGGATTTTGGACACACATACTCAGCATGATTTACTTTCTTTTTTCTTTTTTCTTTTTTTTTTTTGAGAGTTTTTTTTGCTATAGGGCTCATGCGCTCGCCAGAAAGACAGAGACAGAGAGACAGAAAGCGAGAAATCACCCCCCGGGGGGATGGCCACACCACAATCCCTTCTTCTCCATTCTCTCCTTGGGATTGTGGGCACACACACCCAGCGTGAGTTTTAAGCCACCGAGTCCAGGATGCGAACCGTGGTCGACTACATGGGAGTCCAACGACATAGCCATTACACTAACTGCTGGTCCCAGCATGATTTACTTTCTTGGAGAAATTTTTCCTATAGGGCATGTGCACTCACTGGAGAGACACAGAGATAAAAAGACAGAAAGCAAGAAATCATCCACTGGAGGATGGCCACCCTGCAGCCTTTTCTTCTCTATTTTCCTCTCGGGACCTTGGGCACGCATGCATACGTGCCCAGTGTGAGTTATAAACCTCCAGGTCTGAGACTTGAACTGCAGTCAAACATGTGGGAGCCCAGCAACGTTACCGCTAGTCCTACTCAGCATGATTTTCAAGCCAGTGTGTCCAGGACTTGAACTGTGGTCAGCCATGTGAGAGTCCAATGCCTTACTTAACCACCATGGCACCTGCTGGCCCCGTGACTACATTTCTAACAAGTTCCCAGTGGTGTTAGTGCTGGTAGTTTGAGAACCATGTAGGGAGAAAAGAGCATGGCGATAGAAAGAGGAATTAGGATTTTTGGTCTCAGTAACCTTGGACAATCATATGGCCTCTGTATCTCACCCTCCTCCCTTGTTAAATATACAAAATCACCACTTTATCCACGTTAATGGCATGTTCTAAGGATACCGCCTCTCTATCTGAAATCATTTTTAAGATTCTAGAGTAATAATCAAGCACACTGTTACTTTCTTTTTTTTTTTCTTCTTCTTCGCTATAGGGCATGTGCGCTCGCCAGACAGACAGAGAGAAACATAGAGACAGAAAGCGAGAAATCACCCCCTAAGGGGGAAGGCCACGCCACAATCCCTTCTCCTCCATTCTCCTCTCGGGATCTTGGGCACGCACGCACATGCACCCGGCGTGAGTTTTAAGCCACCGGGTCCGGGACGCAAACCACGGTCGACTATGTGGGCGTCCAGCGACATAGCCATTACGATAACTGCTGGTTCCCAAGCACCCTGTTACTTTCTTACCTGTAGAAAAAAATTTTAAATGCAATTCTATCCATAAATGTGGATTTTTTTTTTACCTTACTATTTTAGAACTCTTTTTAGAATTATTTATTTGATTTTATTTATTCACCTATTTATTTTTTAATTTGACCAGACACATACACAGAGAGAGAGAGAGAGAGAAAACAAGCCTTCAGGTTCAGGAATTGAACTGTGGTTAGCCAAGTGAGAGTGTCCAGCGCCTTAATCACCACGCCACCTGCTGGTCCCAATTACCTTATTATTTTAAAATGGACATCTTGGTTCCTGTGTCTGTTGTATCACTGATTTCTTTATGATAGAACCCTAGGATTATAGTTATCAAAGAATGTATTACTTTGAGGTCTTTGATATATGCTGCCAATTTGTCTTCCTGGGAGGTTTTTCTGGTTTCCAGTTCTCGCCAGCAGTTTGTGAGACTCCTCTACCACCTGCCCTCCTCGGTGTGCCCACGTTTAGAGCAG